TAATTCCTTCTCCTCTGTTGGATCCTACATGCCTTCTGTGGAATATTTAGTGTATCTGATTTGGTTGGAAAAAAACATGGTATATGGTCACCGGTGTGCATAGAGTGACTTAAAAATGTAGTTTGTGGTTTTTTTTTCTGAAGCTGGACCATTTTTATTTTCCTTAGGAGTGGAAACTTGAAGGCTTTTTCAACTCAAGCTGTAATGTGTATTGTATCATTTGCTACACATCAAAACCTGTACTTCACCAAAGAGTAGGCTTTCTGGCAAATTGCTTTCATAGAAGAAAATAACACATTCTGCATGATGCATTTCAATAGCTTCTGTAACGAAAAGCATCAGATAAAAATAAAATGCTTTCAATTCTATAGATCAGTCTGTAGTTGATGAAATGTTGTCTCCTACTCCTGTACATTAGAATTTAAGGGCCAATACATCCTGTCAACTTAATTTCTCTGTGCATGGAATTTGCAGTACAAAACTGGATCTCTGCATATTTTTTTTCCACGGGTAGAAAAAATAGAAATATCTTATGAACCTTAGAATGCAGTATTGTATTTTGGCTTTTATATTAAATCACTAGCATTCTTTGCATTGGTGGGTGGTGGAAATAGCTTATAACTCTTGTTGTGCTGCTGTTTTGTCTTGCTGCTGCTTAGTTGTTTTACTCAAAGGATAAAGACCACTTTCCCGTGAGACTTTTGCAGATGTTGTTTATGCGAAAACTCCAATTGCAAAAAAATTAATTCAGAATTTTATGTGTGCACTTAGTTTAGCTTAAGAGCCTGCTGAACTCTTTCTTCTTTTGATGATTTTTGTGCAGTGTTTGTAAACCTAATCGGATGCAACTCTGAATCATTTCACTTCTCTGTTTGAGCTTACAGATTGTATCTGTCATCTGTAATTTCTCTTCTTGGTTTTACATGCTAAAGCTTCTCTGTAGAGTTACTTGATTGATGCGAGACCCCTTCCCCGAGAGACCCGGTTAAACTCTGCCCTCCTCACGTGCCGTGTTAGAGAAGCCGATAGTGTGCTGCTGCTTGGCATTTGGCTTAGACAGTGCCTGTATCTCTATTATGTGTGGTGTTGAAATCGAGGGTGCTGTTATCATAGCAAAATCTTGTGAAATCTCCCTAGAGAAAAAGTCCCTCTGTTCTTCCCATACCACACCTCTTTCTCAGGAAAAAAACCTTTTAAGACTAAATTTCACTGTTCTACCATAGTTTCTCCCATTATGCAACCATAAGCCTGAAAGACGCTTGCTTGGTCAGTGGCCAGTAATCTGCTGTGGAAGGAGATGATATCATACTATACCCCTCTTCAAATTAGTGCTTATGGGTTGTAACCATCCCTTCTTAAGACGTAAACATCTAGAAGCTTTATTTCCTTTTTTCAAAACGGAAAGGAGTTGCCCTTCATGTGGGAGAGCAGCAGGGATATGTGAAGCTTTGCCTTGGGATGGATGATGGGCCAGCTGAGAGCAGGCAGGGGTTAGTGGGTGACACTGTTTTGGGTGTCTGCTGTAGACTGCCTGATGAGGAAGAAGTAGTAGATGATACCTTCTCCAGATAACTGGAAGAAGCCTCCCGTTCGCAGGCCCAGGTCCTCATGGGGGTCGTGAACCACCCTGCCGTCCGCTGGAAGGACAACGCAGCGGGACATAATCAATCCAGGAGTTTTCTGGAGTGCATCGATGACTGCCTAACACAGGTGATGAAGGAGTCAGTGGATGGAGGTGCTCTGTTGGACCTCATAAACATGAAAGGAGAGGTTGAGATAGGAAGGTCAGGGTTGCAGTGGCTGTAGTGACCGTGAGATGGTGGAGTTCAGGATCCTGAGAGGAGGGAACAGGGCAAAAAGCAGCACCACAACCCCGGACTTCAGGGAACAGACTTTGGCAGTTAGGGATCTTCTTGGAGGTGGTTGATAAGAAAGATGTTTAAGCTGCCAATCGGAGGGACGTTGACAGGCTGGAGAAATGGGCAGAGAGGAATCTCATGAAGCTCAGTAAAGAGAAATACAAAGCCCTGCGTGCACCTGGGGAGGAATAACCCCATTCTCCAGTACAGGCTGGGGGCCAACCATCTGGAAAGCAGCTTTTCAGAAGAAGGCCCTGGGTGACCTGGTGTACAAGTTGACTGTGAGCCAGCAATGCTCCCCCATGGCAAAGGCAGCTAACTGTATCCTGGGCTGTGTTAGGACAAGCATCGCCAGGAGGTAATCCTTCTCCTCTGGCCAGCACTGGGGGAAACAGACCTGGAGTGCTGTGTTCAGTGCTGGGCTTCCCAGAGGGAGAGAGTCACGTCATGAGAAGAGGCTGAAAGAGCTGGGATAGTTTAGCCTTGAGAAGAAAAAGGCTCACAGGATCTTACTGGTATATATAAATACCTGATGAGAGGGTGTAAAGACGACAGAGCAAAACTCTTCTTGGGGTGCCCCACAACATTGTAAGAGGCAACGGGCACAGATTTAAACACAGGAAATTTTGTCTGAAATAAGAAAACTTTTTTTTATTGTGAGGGTGGTCAAACGCTGGCACAGGTTGCCCAGAGAGGTTGTGGAGTCTCCATCTTTGGAGATGCTCAAAACCTGACTGGACACGGTCCTGGGTGACCTGCTCTAGGTGACCCCTGCTTCGAGCAGGGGGTTTGGATGGACTAGATGATCTCCAGAGGTCCCTTCTAACCTCAAGTGTTCTACGATTCTGTAGAGGGCATATCAAGGATTTTACCTGTCTTTAGCTTTGATGTTTTTAATAATGCAAATAGAAGTGTCATGTTTTACTTTTAATGTTGATGGTGTCGTGGTGGTTTTGCACATCTTTCTGTAAATCCTTGAAGAAATACCACTGTGCGATTTGAACAAGCATGTACTTCCAGTTAGTATCAGAGAGAGAACTATGCCACCGTGTGAAACTGAGGTAGACTGTATGCACACAGTAAAGGTAGTTTTACTGAAAGTTTAAGAATTTTATTTTCAGTATGATGAATGCTATGTAAAATATTTTCTAAGAACACCTGCAACTTTACAACTTCACTGTCTTGAGAATACTTACCTTTTGTAAAAACCTCTTGTGAGCACAGTCAGTTAGTACTAGTGTGCAATGCATGCTTGAATTATTAAAATAAATATGGTTTGTAGAGAAGCAACATTGGATCCTTATATTAACATCCCTCTAAACACAGAACACTGTATTGAAGACTCCAAATAAGTTTATTACCGGATAAATATCTCTGTTTTTTCTGCTAGCTTCCAGATTCTTCTGTTGTATTGCTTAAGACTTGAAGAAAATACTATGCCTTTTGACATCAAATTTGAAAGACTACAGTTTGACGGGAGCAGAGGGAGAACTTAGTCTGGTGTCCCCCTACAAAGTCTGACTTCCCTCTTAATGTCCCTGAGACTGTTCAGAAGATTTTGAAGTCTGCTTGATTTAAAATATTTTCTAATGGCAGTTCTTTTGTAGTAACAGATGAGTTCTGCTGATTTTTGACCTCAGTTGGAAGAAAGTAATTAGGTGGTTAGGTTTCAGTGCTTTTAACTTTTTTTTTCTGTAAGGGTTGTATTGTTGTAGTAAATGGGTAGCATCTCCTTCTTTGTGTGATGTACACAGATAAGGTTTGTGGGCAGAGATTATAGATCTTTAGCTCTAAAATAAATTTTATGATTATACGTAGAATTATTTTTCTAATTATATCAGTTGGTCTAAAAAAGATGTTACCTTCTGCCAACAATCTTGTATACTGGAAAAATGCATGCTACAAATTCATTAGTGAGATTAAATGTGTGGTGCCCCCCCAAACGGCAAATGCATTTGATTGCAATGAATCCATATTTCATTGTAGCAGATGTTTTCTGGCCTCTCTTAAAGGCAGAGATAGTCCCTCCCACCGCTGTACTCTTAACGGGTATGGCATCAAGTGCTCTTTAACCTTTGTTGCCTCAGCTTAATCGACAGAGAAAGTAAATCCTTGCCTTCCAGTAAATGGTATGAGGCAACTTGTTCAATGCATCCCTCGGTAGAGCAGCGTTTTGATTCAGTGCTGCAGTGTATCAGTTTTTGAGAGTGGATAGTCCCTCGTTCATTTTCTAAACTGAATCATAACAGCCGAGACTGGGACCTGCAGTTGGCCCATCGCTGACTGTAGTTCAGAAAGCGGCGGGCGCTTTGAACAGGGGCCAGAAACGTAGCAGGTAGGTGTTGAATGCCAGCTTCGGTGAGGTATCGGTTATCATTTTTGCTCTGTCTCCTGTAGACCCTTCCCCCACAACCCTTCTGCCTGGCTGATCCTTCGTATCGGGCTTTAAAGCATCCATTGGAGGGGGAGATAGCAGCGGCAACATCTGGTTCCGTTTAGGGTACGTGCCCATGAACTGTGATCTTTCGTTAATACTTTCCCTTGTCGTGACATCTAGTAATTTTACTAATGTTTTGTATGGATTTCTGCTTGAATGTGCCCTTGTGCCGTTGATCATTAATATTCTCGATGACCAAGTTGGTGCTAGGATGCTGCAAGACCAAAGTACAGCTTCAACATATTCTACAAACATGGTCTGGGCACGTGAAACAATCTTTCACCGTGCCAAAAATCTGTACCGGTTCTGGTTTTGCCACGAAACGTGCGAAGACAGAACTGGAGACCTCAGCTGTGCGGAGCAGTTGTCCGTTTGCCGGCTTGCCACCTAGCAAGCGGGCAGAGGTCTGCATACCGTGGTCCATCACCAGCTGCTGCTGCATCTCCTCATGGCTTGAGAGGAAATCCATGAGCTGCTCGCAGTGACGCTTTGATCCAGAGCCATCAGCTGCATGATGACACTGCTGTGCTGCACTGTGAATTAGTCCCTGCCCTCAGAAATCATTTCGGTGTCTCATTTAGTACTTTATTTGAAAGTGTTTGGCCCAAAGGATCACGTGGGGTCCGTATTTGTGAAACCCTGTTGCCCTCACCAGCTGTCCCTGCTCCCAGGTGAAAGCAGGTGGAGTGACTTGAGGGATCTTGATGGTGATAGCAGGTTTTGTGGGAGATGCCAAGCTGATAACGCCCGTGCTAGACTTCACTGGAGTCTGCCGAGAGCTCGTTACATACTTCATGAATCTGGGGTAGGAGCCAGGTTCCTTAGCATTTCATCGTGCATCTGGTTAGGATGCCCTTCTAGGGGAAGGGGTCTGTTTGCTGTGCTCTTGCTGGTTGTCCTCAGTGCTCCCGCTCGTGCTGCTGGTGGGAGTCTCTGGGATGGATTTTAAGACGGCGATGTACAGGATCGCATCCGAGTAAGGGTTTTTTTGCTTGCAAGTTAGTTGTGGCTTTTGGCTGGGGGTGCCTTGAGGCTGGAGTGGCGGGCAGGGTGCGTGAGAGCTCGCTGTGAGTGTCAGCTCCGGGCTGGTGTGTCCGCTGGCTGACTTTGGAGGAGAAGCAATATCTGAAATCCCACCAGTTGGTTAGCGTAGGGTGTCCGTCGAGCGTCCCGTCCTCTTGGAACCCTTAGCACTGAGCGTCCCCTGGGGATGGTCTTTCAAAGACTTGACTACTGATGACTTCTACAAAAGCGGGGCAGGGGAGGAACGAGGAAAAGCTCGCCCTTCCCTCTTCGCCTTTGCCCTTCTGACGGACAGGGAATGTGTTTGTATGTATGCCTGCACCGGAGCCTGGTTATGAAGCGCATCCCCGGGAGGCCGAACACTTGAATTCAGTGCTGCTTCTGCCTTACGTGATTTAATCCTTGTTCTCCTCGCAGTGTCCCGACCGCCACGCAGCGTGTTCACCTAAAGAAAGGCTGGTCCTCCCCTGCTCCCCTGCTGAAGCTGTGCAACGGTGCGGGCAAACAAATAACTTCAGGGGCCGAAAGCCAAGTGATGGGGGACCTTGTCGGGGAGCTGGAGGGTGTTGCATCAGCCATGCTGCGAGGTTATTTCACAGGTTTGATGCCTCATCTCGTTCACCGCTTTGCTTACCAAAATCAAACTGCAGCTTCTGCTTGTGTTTGCCTGGAGAAAGACCTTTTCCTGAGGTCTTTCTGAGGCAGCATAAAAAGGGTAGGGGAAGGACTGATTGCAGTTTCCCTTATCTGGTGACTGAAGGACACATACCTGGTGAATGGAAATGAGCAAATAAAGTGAGGGCTTCTCCCACTGATTTTTGTTTACAACGTAGGAGAAGAAAATAGAGCCTGAAGTAAGATTTGAAGCAGGAATGCAATTAGGAGCTAAACTGTATTTAAGTTACTGTGTGTTGCTTTTTAATTCTAAAGTGCAGATATCCTTTATCTGGTCAGCTCTAGGTTTGGAAAATGGGTGAAATAAATATAGATGCTGTTCAAGAAACAGGACCTGGTAATGTACTGTATCTTGGTAGCTTCCTTAATTCCTATTTGAATATAATACTGTAATTTCCTGAAGAAGCCTTAAAAACTGAGGCAGCATGCGTATGTTGAAAATCTGTATTGATGTCTAAGGGAAACTTGACATAAGAGCAAGTACTCACAAATTTTTAAGCTTGTCAGCAACAGCTCAAGTGCTTGCACCAAAAAAAAAAGAAAAAAAATTCTTTCTGTCCTGTGTGAATATAGCCCTGAAACTGGAGTTAATTTGCAGTTTTTTTCCTCCCTCTCCCTTTTGTTCTAATTTCAGCTGCTCATGCTGGCCCATCTCAAAAATTAGGCAGTGGATTTCATTAAAGTCTCTAATTTAATTCTCTTTGCTGCTAGTAGTGGCCTTTTTATGGAAACATTTTGCTTAACACAGTAAGCGTTTAGTTATACTACCTATGCCAAATGGGTTTGGAGTATGACATGTCTCTAGCACTGGAAAGGCTCTGGCAGTGAGATGTTGCTCCTCTCCTTGAACACCGTTAGCTGCAAGTAGGTCTTCGTGCCATTCGTGCCGTGGTTTTTATTTCAGTTGCCTCTTGTTTCCATTTTTTTTTCCATCAGGAAAGGTGCTGAAGCATTCATGCAGGATTCTTGGGCATGAATGTTTTTTGTTGCAGGACCGAACAATTGAAGGAAAGCCAGCGATGTGTTGTTTTGGCCACTTTGGCAGGAGAAAATTTTGAGTTTTATCAATCCTACTAGTTTGGCTTAATTCTGTTAACATGCATTTCTAGAATCAAGAGTGCTAGTTGTAGTGGTATTCTTTAAAAAAAAGTATTAAAAATGAGGACTGTGGCATCACACTATACTTTCCAGTGAGTCATGCATGCGCTTATCTCTTCTTTTTTTTCTTCCGTTGGCTGACATCGACCCAATTTTGTCAGAATGAAGTTTTTAAAAAAATATGTGGCTGGGCGGAAGAGAGAGACTTGGTTAGTTTTCCAGTGCAAGAAGGGCTCTATTCAAGATGTGTGTTCTTAGAAAATCCATATAAGAGAAACCACTATAAATTCTTTGATAGCAGGAAAAGCTTCAGTTGAAGGTTGGGCATTGCCACTACTTAGAAAGCTGTAGGCTTCTTTAGTGCTGATGCGCATGGAATTATTTGTCTCATTGAAGCGCTATTAATTAGGCTGGCTAAACTAAGCAGCATTAAAAGTGTTGCCAAGATACTCGTAGAGACGTCGGGTCTGCAATCAAAACCTGCTGTTACAGTGTGCTGGGTGGATGTGCTGCTCTGGCCAACAACCCCACTGCACTTTGGTTTGTGTTAGAGCTTTTCAAATAGAGGCTGAACTGTGTCTGATCTATTGAATTAGGAACATGTTTCTGGTTGGCATATATTTAAGAAATTACATATATTTATATACATGTGTATAGATATATATTTACATTTGTTGAACTCTATTCAGTAAGCTCTTAATTCTCTTTCTTCCCTGTGGTCTTTTTGACAAGTAAAACAAATATGGCAAAAGGAGGTGCTTGCCTCTCCAGTAGTGCTTTAGAGCACTAATGATGTGCCTTGGATAAAGGAAGGATAGTTACTGAAATGGGAGTAGGATGTACTAAACATGCAAGAGTGATTGAATTCTGTAGTTTAAATGAAAAAAAAACAAACAAGAAGTTCAAAGAAATGCCATTCATATAACTGCAGTTTCTGATTTTATCTAGGAAATGGTGTCATTCATTAAAAATTGTTATGCAAACTAGAAATAAAGCTCCCAGTTCATTTTTTCTTTTAAGTAGTCAGTTAAAGAAACAAGAATGCCTTTAGATATTGTGTAATTTTGTTTGTTGCACATATGTGCTCTGCATGTTTATATACAACACTGACACCTGGTGTGGTGAGGGCCCTCAAACCTTCTTAAGGATGCCCAGCCCTTAATAGCTTTTTGATGACCATTCTTGTCTTTTAACCATGTTCCTCCTGTCTTTTCTCACTTGCCATGGTAGAGCATCTCAGGCAAGGACAACTGTTGCTTATGGGCAGATTTGTAGTAGAACATCAATATTTATGACTGTCATATAGTTTAGCAGCTACACACTGGCTGAGGAACACTTTTTGGCAAGTATTTATTTTGGACAGTGTTAGGACAGATTGGGATTTCTTCTGTGGAGTGTACTCCTGCTGTGTTTTCACAAAAGTATCTTTAAGTGCTTTTCTAGGCTTCTGATAGATTCTTGATTTAGTCATATTAATTAATACTTAGCAAAGGGGATGCATTTGTTTTAGCAGATAAAAATGTGTTAATGATATGAAAATACAGTTATGGATCTTAGGAGGACAAAGAAGGATTAAAAAAACATTGGTGGCTATTTTAATTGTAATATATGTTTTTTAGGGAGCTAGAAATGTGGAACTGTAAAGGGTTTTATTTTCCTCTTACAATTTCAACTCTGTTACCAAAAGCCTTTAAGACTTGGGGTGGAAGGAGTGCCATTCTGACTCAAAAAATGCCTTCGAATTTTCACATTCAGATCTAACGCATCTTTTGCCTGCTGAGTGTTTATAAACTTTTTAAAGCTCTATCCTTTTTATTCCCTAAAAAGAACCCATGTTTTTGAGGGAAGACATGTTCGTTTCAGTTGTGTTCTGTTTTTCTGTGAAAAGGAACAGCAATGTATGTTGAAAGATTGGTGCTGAGGCTGCAAAACTTTGCACTTAAAACCTGATTTACGGTCATGGGTGTAAGACACTCAAACTAAGACTGGAAACCTGTATCATAATACAGACTCCTAAGACTGTGCTTTTACCTTGTGTCCTAGTAAGATGCCTATCTTACTGCCCCTCTTCGTGTCAATCTAAGATAGAATTGAGTGACATTCCGAGCACGCGCTCCAGCATCTAAATAAAATAAAATAATTCCAAAAAAAGGTGCTGATTTCCAAGGAGGGATTGCAGGTGATTAAATGTAGGCAGGTATCCCAAACTTATGAGCATCTTCCAGTTACCCTCAGGAGCAAAACCCACGAGGGTACAGGCACGCACACGTGCCACGAGCGGGTGAGATGCACAGGTTCTGACTGCTGGGCAAAAACGCCTGTGCGGTCTGGGGGCACAAAACTCTCTTGAAATTTGAGGAGTCTGGTCAGTTATGGTCAAGACAACTTTATATGAAGTCATTTAATTCTGCACAGATCCTCACCACTTGCAGTCACTGGGGACCAGGGAAAGTTAGCATCCTGCCTGCATTGTGTGCCTATGTCCTCACCATAGAGGCAGGGCTGGGTTGGGTTCCTCCTCAAGCTGGGAAGACTGGTATTGTGCATATCCTGCCCAACTTTCATTAGTCCTTCTGAAACTGGGCCGTGGAGCAGCAGGTGTATGAGGCTAGAAAGAAAATCTTCCCAGGGGAGGCTGGCTCTGTAACCTGGGTGGTTACAGCACTCGCCGGTGAAGACGACCTTGGCAGCCCCTCTCTGTGGGTTTTCTGGATCGTCCTTTAGAAGTGACCCTCTGCCTTCACTTCCTAATGAACCCTGGTGTGTAGTTAGGATGCTTTTAATTACCCTGCTGGGTAACCTTACCCCATGAATGATTTTGAAGCAGGCACTCTGGATTTTGCTAGCGTCTGTCTGCTGTGATCTTCAATAGTGAGCTTTACAGATGTGTGTGGTTGTGTTTTTTTTAAATAAATTTTCATTTTAGGTAAAACACAGATTATAGTCTGTTTGCATGTAAAAATTAAAACAAAATGTTTGTTCTGATGCAGGTCTGAAAGAGGTCTGCATAACTGATTTTAAGCAATAACTTTAATTAGCTCAAATTTTGAAAGCGGCTTCCAGTTATTGCTTATCATTTGTCATGCTTATATGTGAGTTATGTGAATATTTTCTGACATAGAATTTTTTCTTTCTTTCAGCCTTTCTTTCAACTTGTGAAGTTACGGAAACTTGGACTTAGTGATAATGAAATCCAGCGGCTGCCTCCAGAAATAGCGAATTTCATGCAGCTGGTAGAACTTGATTTGTCTCGTAATGGTAAGCTCCAATGTTAATTTGTTTGATTCTGTACTGTCCTATGACATGGTCTGTAAAACTGGGTAAGTAGGGTTTTTCTGTCTCTGAAATTGCTACGTCCCACAGAATGCTTTTCCGTGTAATTCATGGATTTGCCTGTAGTTCTAGATGGGGAGGACGGAAAGAGTAGAGGAGAGCTGGTGGTGGAAGTACAGTAATAAAATAATGCCTGACTGTAGTTCTGCCTTTCTGAGAGCCTGCTTTATTTTCCAATTTAAAGAATGCTTTACATCCTATTTTTATAAGTCTGTTTGTCATAATGTTGATCTCTTCCCCCAAGCTCTCTGAAATGCCTAGCATTTAAGGAGACAAAAAAAAAGGTTGAAATCAAAAAGCTCCTTTCAGTCCAAAAAAAGGCTGCCTATGGGTTAGAAGTCCAGTTCTTTATCTCTGCTCTCTTCTTTACCTGTGATTACCAAGAGGCAGAGTGCTGGTATTTCTAGTTGTACTTCTGGAAGAAGAATCAGTCTGTCAGCTGCAGAGATAAATTCAGAAAAGGATGTTGGAAGAAACCGTCTTTTAAAATGTGTTGTTGGAAGCCACATCGGTTTATCATTTGGTTGTAATGTTTGCTGCTTATATTGTCCCGAGCTGTGATGGAGTGAAATTTTTTTTTTTTTTCTTTTTTTTGTGGCCTTGTGAACTTACCAGTTCTGCAAGAAGTTCAGGGGCTGGTGGGTCACCTTTAAGCAGCCTTATGACCCAATGATCTAGAAACAGCGAATCCGTGTCACCAAATTAGAGCAACTGTCAGCTATTTTTGCCTCCTTATATGCAGTGGATATGCACAAAATGCTCTCTGAGGTGTGATGGATGGGGTGGGAGAGAGCAAGGTTGCATAACCTTGTAAATAAGTGAGGGATGTAATTGAATATTCAAGGGAAGACATAGTGTAACCAGGAGCCTTTTTTTCTTTATGGTTTAACTTCACATTGACCCTTTGGCACTGAAGAATATTCAATGGCCACTTCACCTTCCTGTAACTATCTGAAATTTACATCTTTCCTTTATTTGTTTGGTGCTTCTAACGCCAGCTTTATCTGCTAATATAACTGATGAAGCGTAATGAGTCTCCAGGCAGTTTCTGAGGAATTTCTGTGAACCATATAATTTTATGCACATTTGCAAAACCCTGTAACAGAAGAAAACTGGAAAAAAAACCCCAAACATCTGAGAGACAGAAGAAACACATTAGTTAAAACATTTTAGAAATACACGAGCATTAATTGACTCAGTATTTTGGCTACTGAGTTTGGCTGAGTTGGGGGCTGTCTGTGACAGACCTTATACAAAAGGAAACACTCAGTTGGCTTAGTAATTCTCTTTGCAAATGAATAACTAGCTGCAAAAGAGCTGGTGGATCAGAGCCATGTGAACTCTTGTCAGCCTGACTTGGAAGTTGGCTTGAGAGCTCAACTGTAACGAGAACAGATGGTGTGAACATTTATGGTTGGGTAGATGTGTGTGTGTCATTAGAAGTTACTGCACAGGGAAGTGTTTTCTCAAGTAATGGGTTGGACTGATGCAGGTGGCAGGGAGCAATTGCTTTCCTATATCCAAGGTTCAGTGTTAATCGCCCATTTTACTGCATTACTTTCTCTTCTCTGTGGCTCATTGCAGCAGGTTACTGATACTGCTTCCCTCTGCTTAATCATGTCACAGTTATTGAATGACTTGACTCTTCAAATGAAAAACACACCATGCGAGGCGATGCAGGGGGACCATGGCAGAAGATGACTGATGTTACTTTCTGCTGTTTGGTCATGTTATGGTTGTCTCACAGCTCTTCAAATGAAAAAGCAAAACACACACCATCTGGGATGCTGCAGGGGGAATTCTCACATAAGATTTTGGAGATTTACGGTATTTTCATTTCTTAGCTTTGTATTTTGAACCCACCTTCCAATATGTCAGATTCTCAACCTGCCAAGTGTTTCTCCTGTTTGGTGGTTTGCACTCCAGGTTTTTTTTTTCTAACTACCAAAGTACTTAGAAAAAAAAATAGGAACTCTTTGTATTCCTTTCAGGCAGAGAAAAACAGCCCAGCTTTTCAAAACGCAGTATGCTGCATGAATAGGAAAGTGTGCTGGTGACATCTGAACTTGGGAAATAAGAGATCATTGTTCTGTGTTTTCTGTTGTTTTAGCTGTCTGGTTCGGTGCACTAATTGCTTTCAGTTCTGGCCATTCTGTTTCCTCAAGAGCTTAAAAATGCAAATATAAATTCATTTAATGTTCTCTGTACAGGAGTAGCCCTTTATATTTTAACGTCTCATCACAGGAGGAGGAAGAAAGGGTTTTGGATAAACAAAGTGCTTCCATTTCCTTCATAATAAAATGGTAGCATGTCTTCCTTTTTCATATTTTCTAATCCTTTGGTCAGCCTACGCTCTTTGAAGCTCCATGAGATGGTGGGTATATGGTATGGCTGGACGTGGGTGCGCTTCCAGGCTGCAGCGGCCAGCTGCGTTCTGTGCAGTGGTGAGGTGTTGCATCTGGAGGTGAGGTCGATCCCTCCAGGCAGGATCCCTCCCAACTCTTCATGCCTGTGCAATGCGACGTTACGTGCTGCGTAAGTACCCCTAGTTCATAGGCATTCAGGAAAGGTGAACAGGGAAACTCTTTAAGTGTGGCTTTCTTCAATTCCCAAGTGTTTTAAAATGCCCAAGACATGCTAGTATATGTTAACAATGTGCTACATAATTAATCCTTTAAGCAGTTTTTGGTTAATAAGTGAATCTAGAACTAGAAAAATCCTTCTAAGTAAAACTCAAAAATCTTCAGCATATGTAAACTTGACGCTCCCGTGATCTTGGGTGTACGTGGGAGAAGTTTGGGGATAGTAAGGTGAGAGCCTCGGTGGTGCAGAAGAAGAAGGATTTGGGGAACGCTAGAAGCCACATAATCTTAAATTTTTCCTGGATTATTTGCATGTTGATGCTATTTCTTACTCCTCTGCAAGGTCATGTGTTCATGCAGATTTCCTAGGAAGCACCCCCACCGTGCTTTTCTAGCCCGGCTGAGGCTGTTATTTGAGCAAAGGTTGAATGGATGAATCAAGGATGGGAATATCAGAAGGCAGGGAAGCTGTGCTAAGAGAACAGCATAGTGATGGTGAACACTTTGAAGGTTATTTGGCAATGCAGTTTATCTCTGCCCCTTGGTCTTAGGTTGTTCAAAAAGCTGATGTACTAGTTCTGAGGGTAAATAAAACAGACTTGTAGGATTTCAGCAGTGGATGCCTGAGCTTTTGAGTTGCTGGCAAAGTGTGTCTGAGACTCGGAGTATTCCCTGCAGCATGTTCTGAGATAGATGCTCAGCTGCTGTGTATCTGAAACTACCGCTGGTTCCCTCAGAGCCCCCAGGCTTGGCTAAATCTTTTCCTGGACTCTCACATCACTGGTGAATTCTGCGAGGATACTGGGTCATGGAAGTGTCCTTGCTTTACATCCTTGAAGCTTGGGTAGGGCTCATGTGCTTTGCATTGAGTTTCAGCCCAAGTCTTTGCTCTACATGGTAGAGGAGAGATTCTGCTCTAGGCACAGTCAGAAGCGCCTGTGTGCTATTTGTTTTCCCACAGCGCTTGGGCACTCTCCTGGACAAGTCTCGAAAGACCCTGTGATTCAGAAAAGAAGTGCAGTCTCCAAAGGAAGAAAGATGTGCTCAAATTTCTGCAGTTTTTTCCTTGTGCCTCTGCTGGCACTTCATTAAGCTTCTGTCTCTCCCCAAGTGTGTGCAGCTTGTTTGAGATCCCTGGGAATTGCAGCAGGCTGTTACCCATGCTGCGCATCCCGCAGAGGTTTCTTCCAGTGACTCCCTCCCCCCTTTTCTTCTGTGCAATGCCTGGAGGCTGAATTCTTAGAGTTTAGGGCCCTGCCATCCCAGATTCATTAAAATGTTAATGGCTTTTCTTGTTCTGTCGCTTCTTCCAGACAGGAGGGGTAATGCATGAAGTTTCTGTAGTTAATTTAATTCGTGCTGGTGTTTGGGATTATGTATGCTACGTATGGATGCTGTGTTCTTGCAGACGTGTATTCCTTTTTAGTATCCCTCTTCTCCAAGAAGAGGGTTTTTTGTTTGCCTTTGACAAGTATTAAATCCTCCAGATTCCACTGATACGTTTTTGTCACGATATTGCATGCTCCTTAAAATGCCCCAAAAGTGTTAATTTAATTGTAGTATTTTTATTTGAAAGAAATTGCTACCCACCACTCCTCCCCCTGCCCTTAACAGGTGTGGTGTGGAAGTCTGGATTTTTTTCTTTAATGTCCTATACCTTTTCCAGCCTTTGACAGATTGTCAGTTCATTCAGCTCTTTTAGGATAAGAAGAAAATCACTGTGAGCTTGCACACTGGACAGTGGCTGCTGGGTATTAGGCACCGGGGTGGCTTTCCTAGCCTTCCCAGCTGCAGAAGTGCCATTTGAACCGTCCTGCTGTCCAGCCCCTTCTGGGGTGAAGACTAACCCCCTTGCTTATGTAGGAGATGAGCCTCTTGCTCTTCTGTGTCCGCCTGCACGTTGCTGTCTCTCTGTAATAAAAGCCTGGCAGGCTTCTCTTCTGCTATTCTTCTTGCTTGCGTTGAACATATCGACCAAGGACTTGGTCACGCAAGCCCATAGCATCAGTGTAGTTGCTGTGTACCAGCAGATTTGCACTAACTGTAGTGGCTCTCTAGCTGGCAGCAGGTAAGGGGATTCAGGTTAGCTGTTCCTCCATGGAAGTGCTCTGTAACCTTGTGGTTTGGTGTTGCGTCCAAGCCCCGAGTCTCAAAACCGTGGAAAAGATGTGCGTGCAATGGGAGAATTAAATGTGTTTCGATAATCTTCATAGATGGATTATGGTGGTTCTGTTGCTGACTCCGCTGTCAGTGGAGCTGAGATGTGTTACTTTGTGAACGGAGGAGCAATGGGTTTGCCGTGGCATCTACTGAGGAAATCTGTGTGTGGGTGGATCTTGTTAA